TATATATATATATAATATATATATATATATTATTATATATATATTATATATATATATATTATATATATATATATATATATATATATATATATATATATATATATATTATATATATATATATATATATATATATATTATATATATATATATATATATATATATATATATATAATATATATATAATATATATATATATATATTATATATTATTTATATATATATATATATATATACTATAAATATATATATATTTATATATATTATATGCCCTAATAATAGAGATAGATCAAGTATCCACCATCATAAAATTGATTATTGTTTTAAGGTTGACGGACACATGTCTTAATTTTTTTTTTTTTTTTTTTTTTTAATTGGTCAAAACTTAAACAAAACATTGTTTTCAATCGTTATGAGTCTCCCGATTGAATAGAATAATTTTATAAACAATTGTCTTGTAAATGGAATTTTTTAAAGTATTCAGAATGTAAAAAATGAAAAAAAAAAAGTGTACAAGACAGTAAAAACACTACATGCCAAAAAAAAGTGAAGTTTTGTTGAAATTGGTTGAAAAATGTAGGTAACCTTTCTGTAATCTTTTACTTTTACAATTTATGATTTTTACTTATTGAATACAGTAAAAAAATTGCATATTTTGCTTGTGGTGATTCATAATTAGAATTCTGATTTGAATATATTTTCCACTCGTTGCTTCTAATACAAAAATATTAACTTTATTTGGGTTTATTAATTATGATCTAACAAATCTTATTCATTTAGTAGCCTTTCTGTAATAATAATCTTTTACAATTTATGATTTTTACTTATTGAATACAGTAAAAAAATTGGACACCATGTGTATTTAAAGTAGTTTCCCGTTCCGGTTATTATTTTTAGTTAGGACTTGTGTATGTTTAGATTTCATTATCTTTCCCTAAAGATAAAGAATTTATCCGATGTTTGCATTCGTACAATCAGTAGAGATCGTTAGATTATTGTTTTAGGTTGACGGACACGCATGTCTTAATTAGTTTTTATTTTTATTTTTTTATATTTTACGAATTGGTCAAACCCAAACTCAAACAAAAACATTGTTTTCAATCGTTATGAGTCTCCCAATTGAATAGAATTTTATTATAAATAATTGTCTTGTAAATGGAATTTTTAAAGCATTCTGAATGTTAAAAATAAAGAAAAAAGTGTGCAAGAGAATAAGAAACACTACCTGCCAAACAAAAACAAAAAAAGTGAAGTTTTGTTTCATCAGCTGAAAAATATAGGAAATCCGATGTGATTTGTCCCCCTTCCATTTTCACGATGTCTCTTAATCGTGTTTTCAAATTGATTTTGTGCAAAAACAATTATATTTTTCCCATTTTTGGCGCTGTTAGAACCACCACAAGGTAATTTTATGTAGTCCTGTGAAGTTTTGTTGAAATCGGTTGAAAAATGTAGGAAATCCGATCCAATATATAAACGTTACAGACACACACACACACACAATCTGCGTTTTATAATAAGTAACATATATATATATTATATATGTATTATATATATATACACACACACAAGGCCGGTGCAAGGGTTTTGTGCCCCATCCGGACCTATGATATGCCCCCGCCTCTATTACATATCAATTTTCATAAGGTAGTATTCATATAAAACAGAAATTTTATTGTCATCTAATTATGTACAATACTCGATTTTATGCAATATAGGTGAACAATTCAACTAGAAAAAAAATTAAAATAAATACAATGTATCTATATACAATTTAGATGTCATAGATCATTCCAGCTTAGATAAATCAACTATGTTTTCTGGCAATTTTTAACATCAACTTGAGATCTTTTTTTCCTTGTTAAAAGTTTAACACATTCAATATCAATAGAGAGAAAAATAGTGAATTTTATAGCGTGTTTTTTCGTGACTTAGCATAAACATATATTCACGGATCTGGACAAAAAAGACCCCCAAATGACGTCGAAATTCGTGAAAATTTTTCATCATTTAATAATAATTGTGCTTAGTTTAATTTGTAACGTATATAGATGTATGTCGAAAAAAGTAAATGTTGTTTAGATAGCGAGGCTCACAAAGCACTGCCCGGGATCCCCAATTAGACTCCCCACACCCGGTTTGGCCAGAGGTAGTAAATAATACACACCGGTCCTAATATATATATATATATATATATATATATATATATATATATAGGACTAATTGTTCTTAAAAGAGGCGTTAACATTTTTGGTAGGGTTTTTTGTTAATCTGTGATGAGCGTTACCTATAGCAGAGATAAGAGGTATCATTGGAGTGTTTGGCTTGTATGTTCTTGATAGTCGTGATATCTTTAATTGGTAATCTGTTAATTGTAACCATGTGTTCTCTTCTTTAATTTTACATCAGAAGCAGAACTCTATCAAATGGAAAGTTAACAATGATCCGTAAAATACGTCGGCGAAACATTAGGTGATTTCATGAAAATACTATACGAACATAAAAAAAACTTACAATTAGACAACACAATCAATGTACTTGTGTGTCGTTGAAAACGTCGTGAACACGATTTTAAACTTAAAAAATAGCGTTTTATCTGAGTATATAACTTCTTTAGATGTATTGAAAGTGCCATAATTTGTGAATTCCTTACGACTGACGTAGCACCGGGCTATATCAGTTTCGTGATAAATTAGTAATGAAACATTGCAGAACTTAGATCTTAAAATGCGTTTAATTTAGTTAAAATCTAATTTCTCTGACGAGAAGATTGAATTAAAACTAAAAAAGATCAGTCGTTTAACATGAACCACATTTCGTCTCGTTAATACAGATTTGTTTTTAATTAAAGATTTTTCTGATGACGCTGCATAATTGATATGTCAAGGTAAAAAAATCCATATATATATATATATATATATATATATATATATATATATATAAAAATCTGTGTGTGTGTAAAAATTATATCACAAAGTGGAAAAAGTATTATTGTGACGTGTTGCGTCCGTTAGGACATCATCGGAATAAATTTGTTATGTTGGTGCGACTACACATGCGCAGGACAGAGGATATTTATTTCCGTAAAAAACAGAAAATGTGGCACAAGGCCTAAAAAGAGGATTGGGGAAGGACGGTCATCATCTGTCTTAATTTAGAAACTTAGCTAGCCACAACCACTGACCCAATCAAACAAAACAATATTCCTATCACCAAAACAACACATTCATACTTACCTTTCTTACTACATCCACCAAAATACCTCATTTTCTCAATGAAAATCCTAAATAGTTCCCCATGTGTACAAATATTGTCTGTGGGGGGAGGGGAGTAAAAAACAAGTTAAAATGTCCCCAATGATTCTGTACAATATGACTTATAATATTTACATGTGACTAAACAAAATCATGTTAGTAATAAAGCCTCCCACAAGCCTTAAATATGGCAGAAATATCAGTTAACTGGACGAAATCGATGCGGGGCTATAAAAATATAGAAAACATTTATCCATCCCAAGCACTCACACAGACACGCACTCATTCAGACACAACAACAAATACGAAAAACACACACGCGAAACGAAAGGCGCTCCGCATCCACCAGTGAACTGACATCACTGACCACCTAACGAGGGAGGGAATGGGGAATTAAACAAAGACAAATAGGGACAGAAATAAAAGAGGCCGATGACCATACATACCCTAGCTATGTTTATAGAAAAAGGAAACTCAAAATTCCAAGCTCAGGACAAAGGGATGCTGGGAATGTTAATTAATTTATTTATTTTAAATTTAGCCGAGATTTAATTTCTGTTCTTTTTCTTTCACTTATCACTTCCTTGGCAGAACTTCTATTATCACAGTGTGGAATATCTACTAACAAAAGTGATGGAAAGAAAAAGAATCTAAATTAAATCGACTAGATTTAAAAAAAAAAAGTAAAATTTTAAATTCAGCATTCCTCGTTCGTGCATATGCGTAGTTGCACCAAGATAACAATTTAGCCTGATGACGTCCTAAAGGATCAGAAACGCATCACAAAAAAACCACTTTGTCATACATTTTCTCCCAATTTTGTTCCTGATATATAAAAATATATATCGTTATCTCATATATATATATATATATATATATATATATATATATATATATATATATTTATTAAAGACATTTTATGTTTAACGTTGTTATTTATAGATACAAGTATTTAAGCAAATGCTCTGTTTATGATAAAAATTGCTAAATATTTGTATCTATAAATAACAACGTTAAATATAATATCTTTAATCGGACCTTGTCCATTTCTTAATATATATATATATATATATATATATACAAAGTGTTGTACAATCAACGGAAAGCCTGCCAGTAAACTAAACAAAAATTTTGCTAGCAGTGAATATAGTAAAAACAAACGAAACTATACAAGAACGGGAAAATAAACAGACTAAGAAAAAAAAATCCTGAAAGGCAGACACCTACCCAAACAGTAGTCAACAGTGTTCTACGCCTAGGCCTATTAGTACAGAGGAAAAATGCTTCACAGCGTCACACCTCAAACAAAAAGTGATTAAGTTTGGATCTCTACTTAAGTTTCACCAGTCCTGGGTCTGACGATAAACTACATCCGGTGGCAATGCTTTTGATCGGGAGATTACATTTCTATGATTATGCCCCGGATGTAATGATGTGATCTATATACTAATCATCATTTGCCCATAGCTAGGTCCGTAACAGTTACTACCAGCCCGGGTCAGAGTTGTTGTTCGGTCCTCTGACCCGGGCTGGTAGTAACTATTACAGACCTAACTATATGTTGATGGCCTATCCAGGGCATAATCTCAAAATAATCTCTCGCTATTATCAATTCATTTAAGCCAACGTTTCTCCATTAAACACGAAGATAGAATAGTATATATACTTTGAAAATTTAAGGTAAATATTTAATTAATTTTGTTATGCTATGGGCTTATTTGCCCGCCTCCCTACAAACATATCTTGTAGTTCATTCATATATATTTCGTATCTATCTATCTATCTATCTATCTATCTATCTATCTCTCTCAGTCCTTATATATCTCTCTCTCTAAATATATCTATCTCTACGTATCTCGTTTTCTCTCTATCTATCTATCTATCTATCTATCTATCTATCTATCTATCTCAGCCTGTTCATATTTATTTTATACTTGTTCACCCATAACAAGGCTCAAGGGTCACTCAAGGTAGAGAATTACTGTCAAAATGGTTATGAGAATGAGTAAAATATTTTGAAACTGCACTGTTCTAAATTCAAAACTAGCATGACTCTTTCTCGCTAAATTACGAAGAAAATTGGTGGAAACTTTAACGATAATTTGACGATCAATAATTGTGTATTAATTAATGATAATCCTTCAACAAACTTATTTGCAAATATTTTCTTATATTTGTGATTTAATAGCGAAATCTTAAATGCATGATTGCCAAGAATTCGTTACCGATTTTTCTTTTAATTTCTGAGAATCTTTCAAGAAAAATATAACCCTCTTTATTGCAACAACACAAAAGTTTTTTTTTAGTCAGCTAACTTTATCCTTACAGGTTTGAGTCGGTTTGTTTTGTTTTGTTTTACGGCATATCGACATCTCAATGGGTTATTTAATGCCGACAAGATTTTTTATTGCTGGTAATATTTTTTTGTTTCAAAAATGTATTGCTGGTAATAATTTTTCCTCAAAAACTTTATTGCTAGTATTAAAACCTATTTTTACACTTTCATAGTGTTTTGATCCCAGTTTGGGGGTTAACTATTTACCCATAGCTGGGACCCTAACAGGTGCTACCACCCCGGGTCAGGGTGGATCTGGGAACACTAGCAATTAAGAGGTGGTTCCATGGTCCTCAAAACCTCATGAACGGAAGCCTAGCTGTCGGATGTAGTTTATCGTCTTACCCAGGACGCGGATGTAGTTTATCCTCATACCCAGGACAGTCTATACATACAGGTACTAATTAGAAAATGAATTCATTCTTAATTTATGATTATAACTTATGAACTCAACAATAATGTTGACCCTATTTCAAAAGAAGTTTTCACAATAGAAATATTCAACATTTCTTAAATACATTTAAATATTAAATTATAAAACTTCTCATATCTTAAATATAAAAAAAAAGCTTTTTCGTGACCATTTCTAACAACTTTAAAAGTGATGGCGACAGCCAAATTCTACAGTTCTTTATACTCTCATATTTAAACAATAAATCCGTCCCGGGTATGACGATAAACTACATCCGGCAGCAAGGCCTCTGATTGGAAGGTTTTGAGGAGCGTGGAACCACATCTTAATTACCGTTGTTCACAGGTTCACCTTGACCCGGGGTGGTAGCACCTGTTAGGGTCCCAGCTGTGCACAAATATATAGTTAACACCTAAACTGCAGTAAAAAAGGAAAAAGAAAACACTATGAAAGTTTAAACATTTTTATAGTAAATATACCAGCAATTTTCATAGTAAAATATATCAAAATTACCACCAATACAATTTTGTAAAATAAATTAATAATGCTCCCAAGAAAATTAAATTTCGACATTAAATGACCCATAATAAGTTGATATGCCGCTAAACAAACAAATTAAAGAATAAATGATAAAACTACATGTCACCTAATGTTGATGAAATTAAGATTTAAACAGACGATAGGAATTTCGTATGCATCACCGTGGGTACCTTCTGCACAGAGTTGAGCTGGCGGTTCACCTGGCCGTTTTCAAGAAGCTCGCTATCTCCGGAGTCGATATGGTTGTCATCTCAGTCTACGAGCTTGGCGTGTCTTTTCATTTCCTGTGCCAGATTGAAAGATGTCATACCAATCCTGTTGCTACGTCTGAAAGAGAAATAGAAATGCTAAAATTTGGCTCATGCTGCGTAACATTGCGTTAGATCGTATTCTATTCATGATCCCCTAAATATGTCTTCAAATACCACATATATTTTAGCAAAAAGAAGTAGCTATTTACTTACCCCCACTGAGTCAGGATGTGACACAAGGTCAGTTTTGAAAGTGGGAACGAATGTTTCCACTCGGGTCACTGGTCTAAACCTGGTCTTAGCTGGTCATAGCTTGCCCAAGCTGGCCAGAGCTGGTCTAAGCTAGTCATAGCAGTGATACTTACCAGCCCAGGGACGAGCCCTGTGCCAGGTAAGTATTAGCAAAAAGAAGTATGACAAAGTGGGAAAAAAAGTTTTCGTGCGACACGTTTTGTCCTTTATGACATCATCGGACTAAATTTGTGTTTATGTTGATGCGACTGCACATGCGCACGAAGGAAAGGGGTGGTGTCACTGAGAACTTAAAATTTAAATGGTTTTTGTTTTTAATTTGGTATATGTTTTGGGTATATAATCCTGCCGATTTCATTTTGATTCTTTTTTCTTTTTATTGTTGTTCAACAAAACGAGGCTGACCACAATTTTGATTTAAAAATACCACTCTAATTTAAAGATAAAACAATTCACTAAGACGGAAGTGTTTAGAAACCGCTTCAATCTCTAGAAAATCCACAATAAATTTGCGTCTGGAACGTTTCACCATTCCTGGATGATTTTTTTCTATTGTCACTCTGTGGGATATTTAATAACAAAAGTGATGGACGCATAAACAAAAATAAAAGAATCTAAAAATGAAATTGGCTAGATTATATACCCCAAAATATATATTAAATTTAAAAAAAAAAATTAAATTTAAATTTCTCATTGCTTTCTTTCGTTTGTGCGCATGTGTAGACGCATCAGCGTAAACATAAATTTTTGTTCGATGATGGACGAAATGCGGCACAGGAAAACCTTTTCCCACTTTGTCTTTTCACTGAAATGTTCTTGAAATATATATATATCATAGCCACGTTCCTTTCGCTGCGCTCGGAATAAACGCTAATGTTATTCAATAAGCATCACACAACAACGCAATCATGAAAAGAAATGGCTAAAGAAGTGTTCGAAAGCGCTCGGGATAATGATCACTGCGGACAATTTTTACACTTCTTTACTCCCACCAAAAGGAAACATTTAAGAATACTAGAAAATCTCAATAAAAAAATTAATCAAATTCTTCTTGTCTGTCATCTTCAACAAAACATATTTGAAAGAAAGGTTGCTACCCAAAAAAACGAAAGAATATTAATCTACAACCCAGTGTGTCTGAAGATTTTAATTTTTTAATATTTTTTTATTGTTCAAAATATTTTATATATATATAACCAACGGACAACTTGAAAAAAGACCTAAATATCCTTAAAATAATAAAATCTCGACAAGGACAACAATAAGAAAAAAAAGACCTAAATGCAAACATCTACCTAGTCATTAAGAACTTAACGCTTAGATTGCCGAGACAGTGCAAAAAGCGCTTGACAACGGTAATTCCTCTGAAAAGATGGTCCTAGTGGTAACCCAAGTTTCACGCTCTCTTCAGACGAACGCCTTATATATATATATATATATATATATATACACACACATACATAATATATATATATATATATATTCGGACCATTTATACATAGTTTATGTTCAGAAAAAAATTATGAAAACACAACAAAAATTAAATAAAAAACTTCATCGCAATACATTGTCAGTCCTTTTTAACGAAAGTTTTATATATATATATATATATATATATATATATATATATATATATATATAATGGTTATATCTTATCCGAAGAAGCCCGTCTACTAGGGCGGCTAGCCAATCCTTGTTGCAGACGCCTGTTCAGTCACATTTTTGTTCAAGAGCCCAGATCCCACCTGTGGTTTATACTGCAACTATGCTGAGCGGACCTTAGTTACAGTTTGTGAGAGAGAGAGTAAGCGAATCATTTCGGGTGATCAACGATTTGAACAAAGTCAGTACGCTCAAACCTTCGGCCACAATGACTTTTCATTTCGGAACATTGAGAAACCATTCCGTCTATCTAATTTCACTCACAAGGCTTTTCGTCAATCCTTTTGTTCTTTTTTCGACAGGTTTCTAGGTAATATAACGAGGAAAGTGGTCGTTAAAATATTTGGTATTCACATGACAGATTGAAGGTTAGAGAGACAGGAAAACAATCTACCTGGCGGACATGTGTGATTGGATAGCAGAGCGGGGTTTCGAGGAGATGGCAAAAAAAAAAAATCTATTAAGAGCTACAAAGGACATGAAACTGTGGTGAGCCATGATCGCCAACGTTACATATATATATATATATATATATATATATATATATAATTACTTCCAAAGATTCGCTAAAAAATGAGCATACATGATGAAAAAATGCTTCCAACTTAATAAAAACAAAATTTTATCATTAAAATCTTTGTTATTAAAAAGAAAGGCAAAAGTTTTTTTTATTATTATTATTAAATTATTTTTTTAACATCCTTTTTAGAACCTTCAAAATTTTGGTTAAAATTTTTGTTTTTCTTGTGTCATCGGGTGACTCTAAATTAGTATAGTAAATTTTAGCGTCGTTTTGTGGTGAAAAACACACTGATTTGGAAATTCTTGCAAAAATCAAAGAATTGCAGGATTTTTTCACAAATAAATTATTTTTGAAGAGTTACTTTTTTTTTTTTTTTTAGAAGTCTTTGCTAAAAAAAAATTATATTTTTACATGTGTCACTCCCTCTTATTTAACTTTATGAAATTTCGAGAAATACTTTTTTTTGTCGCTTAATGTTTGTCTTAGATCTGACCAGAACTTCTTGGACAATTTAAATCGTCAAATTCTTTTTGTAAAACAGGACTCACGGTTACCGCAAATCTTCTCTGAATCGTAAAAAAAAACAAAACACACACACACAAAAAAACAAACTGCAATATAAGATATTATTTAATTAGAAAAGCTTTTAATTACTTTTATGATTAAGATATATTGTGTGGACACTATTGTCTTAAGTTAAATTTTTATAAGAATTGTTTTAATTTTTTAAAAATTTTAATTAGAATAATTTATAAAGTTTTAAATCTTTTAAAATTCTGTATTAATTTGGGTTGGTTAAGTTATATTGTTATTAGGTAAAAACTATATTTACTATTCGTAAATGGAAAAGCTTACGACAATTCAGCAACCTCCAGTATTTTTTAAAAGTATTTTGAATTTTTTGTGCGTCTGTGTGAATAAACCTGCCGATTTTTGTAAATCCATACACGACATTATTAGAAAATAAAAGCGCTATAGTAAATTTAAAGCACCTAAAATTCAATAAAATATTAGATTACGCAGAATATTTTGCTAATTTTAAACATTACTGGATAGTTAAGAAGTTAACAGACGCTCACGTTATATTCATCAAGTAATTTTTACAGATATGTCTCCCGTAAAAAAAAAAAAAATAGTTTAATTTCTGGCCGTCAATAAAGCGGTCAGGTTTTAAATAAAGCTTTCAGAACCTTTAAAAATACACCAACATCCGTGTTAAAAAAAATGCATTTCTGCCATATTTTAAACTAAAATTAATATTTGTTTTAAATCAAATTAATTAAACATTAAATCAGCTAATGTTCGTCAAATAAAGTTTCAGAATAGTATACTTTATTTGTGAAAGACAGGTGACTAAAATCAGCGATTTTTCAAATATAAAAAGAACTCCTTCCAATCAATTTAAATTCGTTTTCATATACAGTAAACTATTCTGCTTGTTGGAAATATTAAATTTAAGCTTGAAATTAAAACTAAAATGAAAGCTTCAAGAAAGATTTTTCATTTAAAAAATAATTTTAAACCTTACGTATTGTATTTCTTTAGAGATGTACCTAATCATTATAAACAAATTTCGTCGACCGATAAATACTGGAAGAGTGATTTTTACAAATAAAATTCAATAGATTTATCTTATCCAGACGAGTGAAACTTTGATCGGAAGACAAGTTATTGAACTCCTCTTACTCTATCTCTATCTATCTATCTATCTATCTATCTATCTATCTAATATATTTCAAGGGCTGAGATAACGAAAATTTACTCAGCTAAATTTACTCTTACATAAAAGTTGTAAATATAAATTCCGATTTTAAAGAGAATAATTTCAACTAAACCAACTGAAGTACACTTCGAAGAACGACTATGTAGCGCCAATTTTCCAAGATAGGAGTGCTGTCTACCTGTCAGCGTTTGAAAAATGTTCTTTTAAACAGGGCTCGAACGCCGCCCAATGTCGCCGCTGACTGTCGAGTAGGTAACTTTCACAGCCACGAGGCGAGCCCGGGCTGCAATAAACGTCTTGATAGCTAAAATTTAGTCGATATGGATGATAGGACAAATCGAGACTGAAATCAACGGGTCTTAGCTGACTGAGATGGTTACATGTGCTGATTGTCAGTAGGCAGACATTACGATTGACATGGAGAAAAAAAACGTGCAAAGACGATAGATAGATCAATAGATAGTCTAGACTGAGATAGTCTGTCTGTCTATCTATCCATCCATCTATATCAGTCCGTATATATCTATCTTAGTACATACTAAGTCTCTACATTATCTATCTTAGTACATACTATCTAAGTCTCTACATTATCTATCTATATCTAAGTCTACATTATCTATTTAAGTCACTACATTATCTATCTATCTATATCTAAGTCTCTACATAATCTACATTATTTATCTATATCTAAGTCTTTACATTATCTATCTGTCTTCTTATCTGTTTCTATCTATCTATCTATGTCTTCTTGGCTGCTCCTATCTATCTATCTATCTATCTATCTCTTCTTGTCTGTTCCTATCTATCTATCTATCTAAGCCTACATTATCTATTTAAGTCACTACATTATCTATCTACATTATTTATCTATGTGTATCTAAGTCTCTACATAATCTATATACATTATCTATCTATATCTAAGTCTTTACATTATCTATCTATCTATCTATCTCAGTCTTCTTGTCTGTTCATATCTATCTATCTATCTAAGTCTACATTATCTATTTAAGTCACTACATTATCTATCTACATTATTTATCTATCTATATCTAAGTCTCTACATAATCTATCTATATCTAAGTCACTACATTATCTATCTATCTATCTATCTATCTATCTATCTATCTATCTATCTATCAGTGTGTGCATATACCATCGGACGTAGAGTGAGCTAATCTCATGAGCATCTTTCACTACTGGAGTGAATTCGGTCCTTACTTGGTGCCCCTAACACTAAGGCTGATAAGGATTCTACCGTAGCGTAAGCTTGTCCCACATTCTTTTATTGTGATTTGATACTATCCCGTGGGTTACTATCGTACTGGGCCTTGTGTCAGACCAATCTGAACTTTTTAATTGTTTTAAAAATAAAATCGTTTATGTGAAGGTTTTAAAGCACATCGTATTGCTAAGTTAAAAAGAGTAATCTTCGCTGGGTGCCTTTCAAACTGAGCTCTTTTTTTTGCCTAGGACTAACTTAATGAATAACGATATAATAAAATAAAATTATAAAGTAAAAGAAAAAAAAAAGATCAAAAAAGAATTAGTTGCAATAAGCCCAGTGATTATGACCGTATCTATAACAGGCCAATAGAAGTAAACTATATTGGACGTGCACGCCTGAACGATTCTATCTCTGTGGCTAAGCTAATGAATGAATTGGATACACGACTATATTTATAATTCATTCAGAGCTAGAACATCCCCGATGTCTGAAGAAACGTGTGAGGTTACGTACACACAGTAAGAAGATTAAAAAAAATGGTTGTGGAGATTTTAAATAGAGAAAGCGTATAGTTTGGCACAGGGCGACAGGAATCTAATTCACGATACGGGAGCGGAAAATTAGTTTGCAAAGTATTGCTCTACGGTATGGACCCAGCCAGTGTAAACAGTCTAACTAAATTGTAGGTGAGCAGTAAGATGCGTGAAGTAGTTAGTGAAGCAAGCGAACTCAACAAGCAAGCAAGCAAGCTAGCTTGTCTGACTGCAAAGGCCCCGTCGTTTGGTGACAGGAACAGTTATCTCCCCTTAAAGCCCAGTAGTGAGTGAGAAACGAATAGAATAAAATGGATCATGATATCACGTCTAGTTGTCCGCACACATAATCGAAGTGACACATACATAGTGTGTAACAGAGACATACACAGACACTGTTAGCTGGGGTATTAGCAGCTCTACCATCTCTGGATTGTCTTTTTCAATGTAGAGTACTTCACAGCAAGTGCTTGGTGATTTTACCACTGCAAAATGAAAAAAAAACCTTTTTACTTCAACTTTTGTGTAATAAATCAATTCTAAGTAAGTAAAATATTTTTCTCTCTTCTCTCTTCATCTCCTCGTAGATTCTTTGAAACTGGCTTCTTCTGGCTTTTATTGTTGTTAGACCTTTTTAGTATTGCCATTGTTGTTGTTTAGGAGAAGACGACGAAGGGTCGAACGAGGTTTCTTTCTCCCCCCCCGAATAAGAGAAAGGCCTTCTTTTTTTTTTTTTCTCTATTGTTTTCTGCTTAATCTATTTTAAAAAAGATGGTCATTCTTTTCCCCCTTCCATCATATATACATTAACATCTCTGTGTATCGTTTTAACTGGTCACGGGGTTCTTTTCAAATATATTTCAGATTTTTCCATGTTGGCGAAAATGTCCGTTTTAATTTCGGGGCCCGAGTATTTACATCATCATTATTATTATTATTATTATTATTATTATAAGATAAGCAAATTTAATTTTAATCTGATGTCTCGACTTCCTATCGACTAATATTAATCCGGTTTTGTTTTATTTTATTAAAAAACAAAACAAATAGATAACGGATCTTTTAGTGAATGTCGTCGTAAGCGTGTATTAAAAAAAAAAAACTTTAATTGTTTAACAGATCTGAAGGAGTTTGTGTAGACGTTGATGTTGGTAAAAGACAAGAAGAAGCATAACAATAAAGTTTAAATTTTCGGCTAGTTTTCTTCTGAGAAAACGATTATTATTGGGAATTACTTTCTCTTTGTTGCTTTCTTTATTCTTTCAACTTGTGATTTTATTTCTGAACTTGAATAATTGGTTGAAGTAGATAAAAACGAAATTCGTAAGAAATATGCACTTCTCTCTTTTTTAAACAATGGGTTTCTGCCTCGTAAGAACATTTCACGAAGTTTTTATTTTTTCCCTGTCATAGAAACGGAGAAATTATGTGCAATTTTTAGGGACTGAATAAATTTAATCAGCCTAATTGACCGTGGCGATATTAAGTTTACTAGTCTTAATTTATATATTTTACAACGATTTTGCCATCATCGTGTGAAAAAATTGTAAATATTTACATTTAGGATAGTTAGGTGATTTTTAAAGTTACAGAAAAATCCATAAGTTATTTTTTTAAATATAAAATTTTTATGCGTATATTTTTAAACATGCAATTAAAAAAAATAAATTAAAATTTAAAATGCATAATTTAATTTATGGTCGTAAAATTAGGTTTATTTATAAACTGATATTATGAACATATTTAGAATTAAATTTCAAAACTTTTTTTAAAAAATAGATATCTATTTTTGATTTCCTGTAAAAACGAAAATAATTACATGTGGATATACATATTGTTTGTGTTCGTCAGGTCACGTTTTTCATTTAAATTTTTAAATGAAATTCAAATTTCACATCTCTCGCAAGAGTATTTTTTAAAGTATTTTTAAATAAATTTATTTTAGTAAAAGAAAAAAAGGAGAAATGATTTTTTGTGTAAACGCGTGTTGTAAAGAAAAATTCATATTTCACCATAACCAGGCACTTAGGTTTAACCGCGTAATAAAGTTTAAAAAATATATATATATATATATATATATTCTTTAAAAATTGCTAAATACGTATATAAATATTCAGGCCTTTTTAAGTGTTAGAGACTATTCTGTCTTTTTATATATCTACCCTTCCCATAGAAAAACCGCTCATTCCACAACCAGACAGCTGGCCACAATTTCCATGGTCACTCCACTGTGACAGCTGGTTGAATTTTGTGAGCTCTCTCAACCATTCATCTGTGACAGATGCTGTTTATTTTTTAATTCCATATTTATCTGTGGTCAGTCTATCAGACTGTAGCAGGTGGACGAGACCTAATGTTTTTAAAACCAGCTAGGGTTAGCCGACCATGACGACAGTCAGTTCTTGTCTGTTCGACACTAGTATTTGTTCACTGGACCATATCAGATGACCTCTCGGTGCATATATTATATTGTATGGCCACACTGCAAACATGGTGGAAACGGTGTCCACTAGAATATTGGTCAACTGTGACTGTTCCTCGTGAATGAAGAATGGAAAATGCAATAAATCGGACTAAAACACTAAAACAGTTCCTTTCTGTATCTACCACTGATGGTATGTTCTTGTTTTTGTTTTTTTTTTTTGTGTGCATTTGAATACTATTTGAATTTGATAGTTTAGTTGGGGTAACGATTTGATTGTTTTAAAAATAGAGCTGAAATATACCGTTTTGGGCGATGATCCTGGAAAAATATATGTGAGTGGATTTTTTTTATTTAATAAATTAATTTAAAAAAAATATAAAAAAATAGCTCTTTCCCATAAAAGGAGAAAAATCTAAAATTATCCTTAAGTAAAGAAAAAAAAATTTAATACATAAAAAATAGGCGTAAAACATTTTTTTCCTTCCTTGTGTGGTGTCCAGTCGTCGGTCGTTTACCCCGTTTTAACCGATATATTTTTCTCTCTATTACTCATTGTGCATGTCTCTTTGCCTACATGACCACGTTTCTATCTATATCTCATCTTTCCCCACTTCATATACACTTGTGCATATACATATATGTATATGTGTGTGTGTGTTAATGTTGTCTGTATCAGCTGTTGGCGCTCCTTTAAACAGAAATAAGTGCCGAAGCATGACCTATTGGTAGTCTGTTTATACAGCTGGTTTTACCGACTCAATTGGCCCACACACTTAAATGCACACGGATACTGGGCGAGCTTATGTACGTACTTGTAAGATTGTGCATTGAGTTTGACACAGAAAGAAATCTAACCCAATCTGCACGTTCCTTGGTTTTGTTTAGTGTTCGTCTGGCTGAAGCATAGCCATTAATTCAAATCGGATACATGCAGATCTCAGCTTAGGTTTACGATTTGCTTTCTTGCCTGCTTGCTTGCATCTTTTTCTTATCTTTCTCTCTCTTGATAGTTCTTTTTCTTTCTTTCATTCCAAGTAATAGGTGTGGGCTGTTAGTCACCAGTGTCAGGGTCGCGGAGAGAATCTTATCCCTCACTCTTTCTCTTCGTGAGTTTGTACTTGAATCTGACCATGACCCATGGATGGTCGACTTGTTTTAAGCTAAACAAAAAAATAACAAACAATGGGAATTAAAAATAAAGAAATTGATTCTCTAACCCACAACAAAATGCACGTATAGCTGGTTCTGGTTGAATTGTAAAAACTAAAGACGGAAACTGTGACGAACAGTATTCCTTCTACTATCAGTCCCCCCCCCCCACCATTTTCATTTTATTTTATTTTATTTTTAAATCTCTTCGTTATTTCACGCCATAGTTCTTTAAGTGAAGCGAAACGGGCGTCACGGCTCGTTGCCTTACTTGTTCTTAGAGTGAAAACTAGTTACCATTTTTGCTTTATCCTCACTATTTAGCTCAGACCACTGACTCAGTCGTCACATTTATTCTCACTTTTACCGCGAGGATTTAATACTAGTGTTACTACACAACCATTACCACCACGGTTTGGTTGTTTCTAATGCTTGCTCGTCCGTCCACGCCAAGAAGGGGGTGTTCTCTTGAAGAGTGTGTGTGTGTGTGCGCTCGAAGCTCACGCCAACAAGACGGGCACTTTGCAACAGTCTCAGCCTTCTCCTTCTCCTCTCTCTCTTATCTCCAACTTCCTCCGCTAGATCTTCCCCTCACACCCCACCTCGTCTGTCTTTCTCCTCTCTACCGTGTCAGTCTGTTTTCTATCCACGTACGGTTGTGTGTGTAGATATATGTGTATGTGTAGATGTATGTATGTGTTTTTGTGGCGTCGTACAATGTAATTTTTTTTTCTTTTTAACATGGCTAGTTTCATTCCGGCAAGCCAACTCCTAGTAAAGGAAACAGGTACTCTCTCTCTTTCTTTCTTTCTTTCCTTCCCACAAGAACCGAGACATCTAAAACTGCGCACGCTTGACTCTCTCTTTTTTTTGGAAACTATACAAACTAGACCTTCTGCACCCCGACATGTATGGCCAGTTTTTTTTTTTATTATTGACATCAACACATAATTATTTTTTCTGATCGCCTTTGCTTATATACTTATGTACACACGCCTATACGTTATTTATTTACTAGTGTTTCACTACTTACACAAGAAGATTATGCAGACATATACATCACACCAGACACGCTTCTGTTGTGTTCGCAATCACGAACAACACAGACTTATTTCGATCCGACTTACTTCTCTAAGGCTCTTCTTGGATTGTTAATTTTTCTAAAACTAAAAGCGTTTTTTTTTAAGAAAAAAAGAAAAGGAAAAAGTTATTATATTTCTTTCTTTTTTCTTTTTTTTTTTAAAAAAAGAAAAAGAAGATTACCAACACAGTCATATTGTAAATACTGATGTTATTATTTATTTGGTAAGTTTTTTAAATATCATCATCCCCCCCCCTTTTTTTAAACAGCCGGCTTTTGCTTTTTCTGAAGACTTTCAATTTTCCAAATCTGTTTATAAAAGAAGTATTTTTTTTTAATATTCGTAATTATTAACTTATTAAGCATAAAATTCAAGTTGTTTTTTTTTAATCTCTTTTAAATGCACGTATCTAAATCACTAGTTTAACAACACTGTCACATTTATTTAAGTTTTCTTCTTTATCTCTCGTTTTTTCTTGAATTTCAAGGCTTTGTGGTGGGTAAGATTTTTTTTTTGTGGATACAAATTTCATTTATAAATGATCCGAAAATAAAAATAGGCATATAATTTTATTCGATTTCCTTAAAATCAACACTAATGTTTGCATACTTGTTCATACCATCATTCATTACTCTATGCCGATGACTGCCACAATTCAAGCAAATATTTCAAGATTGAGCTTTTGGTACGGTGAGAAAATAAAAGAATGGTCGAATATCCTTCATATTATTTTTATTTACTTATAATTTCCCATGAGGATAATGTGTACGAGACAGAATTGTTTGTTTATTTTATTTTATTTTCTCTTATTTTTGTCTCCCACCCTATGGACCCACATGGGACTACTACTACTACTACTGCCTCTGTCCGACCACAACAATAACTCAACCATACTGTTTCTTTTCAGTATAATTATTACTGCACGTAACTTTCTTAGCAATCAGCATATATTTCACTTTTTTTTTAAGTTATTTATTTACCAAACTCTTTTTTTGTATAGATTATAATGCGCCAGTCTCATTTTAAATCTTAACTTTTATCCTTTAATACGTGAATTAGACATATGACACGATTTTTGCCTTTCAAATGTAAATACATCTTCCTTTCTATTCTCATTTCCTATGGCACCAGAGAGCCTTTTTTTAATTTTTATCTAACCATTCTCTTATTGTATATAACTGATACCTTTTCTAGCTACACTTCCGTAAAAAAAAAAAAAAAAAGAAATGTATTACTTGCTTATTTAATCAATCGTGCATGTCTACATCTTTACCTGTTTTTCTTGGATTGTTGGTCGACCTTACTTAGCACTGAGAGTCGTGCACTGGCTTAACCCGACCCTAGCTAAAAACGTGGTATTTATCGTGGTGGGGGTAGCTAATCTAGCTTACATTTGCATCGCTTCTTCCAACGACTTCACTTCCTCCTTGTACACGACAAAACGGGATGTTAATACTACCATTATAGACCATCAGGAACAAGCAAGAAACTAATTGACCAGCTTTCTTTTTTCTTTTCTTCTTTCTTAAATCCTTTAAATCCATGCTACCGGCCTTTATTTCACGAAGCCTTTTTTTTTTGTCGTTTGTGAACTTGCTATTTTTTTTTTTTTTTTTTTAACACCATTACTTTCTCACGTTCTTTCCCCGTTCACACCCTGCTCCAAATTAGATTTTCAGATTATTAATCTTTTTTTATTTGTGTAAAGTATTTGAGATTCGTTTCCCCTCTACGTTGAGGAACTGCTGTTAAGAAATTGTCTCTCACCCGCCCAGTTGTTTGACTAGTTAATGTTTGTGTGTGTGTCTGTGTAGGTCTTACTTGCTCTCCCCGCCGAGGTGGAGGGCCGAGGTTTAACATTTCCTGTGTCTCTCTCCTTTGCCTCTCTCTTAATAAACACATACACATACCGTTATTTTTGACGGAGCCCGTTCTCTCCTCGTTTCTTGTACAGACCATAATGATACTTCTCGTTATTAACTTAGGCTGTAATTAAATTATTATGTACGCTTTTGAAGCGGATGGTCGAGTGCTGAAAAAGACTACACAGCCTCAGAACATAAGACGCATAAAAATGCATCTTTCACTGTTTTTAAGGAAAGACTACAAACTTGTCTCGTTATTAAACGAGATATAAAAGTATCAATTTTTTAAATACGATCTTAGTTTTTCGCTTCGGATATCTTTTGAGAACATAAACTATTTTATTTTTAACACTTTTTTAGCCTTCTTCCTTTGCGAAGGAAACTGGTTATAAAGTTACTGATCCTTTGAGCGGTCATTTTTTTTTTCTTCTTTAACTAGGCTATTTTTTCCTTCTTTATTTGGGTGACCGAATCTCCTGGGTTGGACGTTGCCGTCTTCGTGGAATCTAGTTTCGACGTTTTAAAAGACTAATTCTTATGTGAAACTTTTCATTCGAAGCTTGTGAACAGGTACCCAACTGAGAGAAACTTGTTGATAGTTTTTACACGATTTTTTTTTTTTTTTTAAAGAAATGTTTAACTTCCTGCATAACTTGCATTGCATAGCAAAATTTAAAAATATCATTTACCCAGCTATATGTAATAAAAAATGAATTGTCTTAAAACTTAGATTTAAAAAGTAGTAATAATCATTGGGACCTTTATTCTTTATAAAGGTACCTTCCCCAACTGAATAAGTAGCTGATAAAAAATGTCTGAAAAAAATATTTTAGCTAATTATCAATCTCATTTTAGTCGGGTACAATGTTAAACAAATGTGGGCGATGCGGTGATTACTAAACTCAGAAATAGTTTGTGAAACTAGTTGCTAACCATTGTTCCATGGCGAAACGCCCCAAATGATTCAATATTGAAATGTTTCTCAATAGTTTTTTTAAATGGTGAGAATTTTGAAGTTTTGTTCTTAACAGTGGGTTAATTTCTTTGTTTTGCTAATGTGATTTTTTTTTTCTTTTCGAATAAGAATCCGGTTTCGTTTTCTTTTTGGCTTGGCACAAGGCCAGGGCAATAGGGTTGCTCAGTGATGATATAATTCACATTAGGTAATTGATCGACGAAACAAGATCGCTCCAACCTATACACATGACATAATTTTTTTTTTAAATAAATCAATGCTTTCTTGGGAAAGTGATAATAATATCACCAAGGAAATAGTGGTTTATTTGGATCATTAAGTAAATTTAAATCCAATTACAGTTAAATTTAGTCTCTCGTCTGATACAAGGTCGAAGTTTTAGAGGCATCAAAGACTAGAACGCTACGGCAGGTGTCTTCCGAGTTTGACCACCCCACTAAATCAGTATAATTTTTGGTAATAAGTTCTTAAATTTAACCTGGCCATTAGCGGTGTTAAATATTTAAACAGTTTTGAAATTCTATGGCTTAAGAAAAAAAAATTGATCAGTGTCTCTTTTTCACATAAATAATTATTTATTAAAACACTTAAAATGGAATTTACTCTTCTAATTTCCTCTGAAACCAAGGTGTTGTCTGCAGTAAATAGCTTCATTCTTCAACTTCACTGCGTATGTTACCGAAACAGCAGTGTTGTTTTGTTGCAATAAATAAATTAGTATTTAAAATTAAATTTCCCTTTGTTTTTTTTTGGGGGGGGGGTGTAAGGTAAGGAGATCAGGCAATGTAGTTAATTAAACTAAAAACACGTGCCTTTTTTTTATTAATTTTTTTTAAATTAGGGAAAAATTTTTTTTTTTTTTTTTTTTTTTTTTTTTTTTTTTTTTTTTGACACATTTTCTTCCCAGAATCAATAGCTGAAGCAAAACTTTCTTTCTACTAATACTTAATTTGCACCCCCCCCCCTCACAAGGTCGTTATATACCACACGGACATGTGAGGAGTTTACTAAACTTCCTTCGGCCTGTCTCAAAGCAAAAGAAGTATAAAGCGACCCATGAGCCCTAGTTAGTTACTAAGCGTAGCTTATGTGACACTAGGCCGAAAGTATGTAACACTTGGTGACGATCGAACTCTCTATTCAGTCGTAATTGACCATGTCGAAGTGTCCAAACTATGAACCTTAGTGTTTAGTGCAATGGGGTATCCTGGGCTTTTTTACGTCTCTCATATTTTTTAAAGTTTGGAGTGCTTTAAAAAAATATTTCGTGAGGTAGCAGTTGCCAGTCGAATATTCAAGCAAAACTGTTCGATTTTTATTAAACATTTGTATCTTAAAGTAATAAACTTTTCTTTATTAATTTTTTTTTTTTTTTCGTAAGAAGCAAAGTGAAGTAATTGTTCTTTTTCAGTGATTAAGTTATATAACTTACAATTTGTAACTTATATATGCTGTAGACAAAACTGGTTATCATAATTACTGATTAAAAATTAAAACCAGTGAGTCTAAACTCCAATATCCATTGTTCGATTCTCGAAAATAAATGCTTTCTCAGGCCATAATTGACTTATTTTCGAGGTGGAGAGGTGGTGTTAGGGGGCTTACAAATTAACGCTCGCCAAAACAATACGTGTCTCATGTTTCGACAAATTCCCACATTTGGCATTGAAACATACATATCAATATACATTTAACACAGAAGGCAAAATACATCAGAATTGGTATATATATATATAAAAAAAACAAAAAAAAAACTGTTGCGACATTTCCGAAGTTTTGCTTGTGAAACTGACTTAGTCATATAGTCACGTGACCATTTCTCTTCCACGTGTCTGCTTATGTTGCATGGATGAATTCGCAAACAATTGCCGTTATTCTTGGTTTTTAGTCATTTTTTCCCCTTTCCTCGTTACAGAAGTGAGACAAGAAAGATTTTATCTTTCACCTATCATGTAATAAAGCATTTTAAAAACAATGTTTTAAATCAACTTAGGGTTTGTCTGGAAAGATATGTGTTGCTAGTGTACAGAGTAGGGGTGCAACTTCAGATTTTAACTAACAGAGCCTGTTACTTCGCACTGATGCCCTTGGGGGAAGTCGCGAATATATTTCTCTTACTCTCAGCTATGGCAGAGCTGAGTAGATTTAGCCTTGGGTGGTGGCCAGACTAAGAGAAAGACAACGCTAAATTCAAAACTGTGGAGGGGACAACAGTAAATCACTCCACTGTCTCCTCCAAAAAAGCCATGGCAATTCGGATATTAAAGAAAAAGAAATTGTGTAGGAGTCATGATTACCTACGTCATGTGTAGAGAGACATGATATTTAAATAATAAAAAAAAGCCTGCTGGATGTATCACATTCGAGTTAGAAAGTTTTTTTTTATCGTCTAATCAAGTGGAGGAAACTTGCTTGTTTTGAAAAAAAAAATGTTTGCATTCACCAGTAGTACGAAGTATGTAAGTACCCCAGCCATTATTAGAGAAACTATGAAAAAAAAGTAGATCTGATAATGAAATGTTAGTTTTCTCTTGAAACAGTAAGTAACAATACACGGGTTGATGATTTTTTTTTTTTTTTTTTTTGTGGCCGGTAAAAAAAGTCACAGGGAAAAGTTACAGTTTTAGCTAAGAAAAAATAAGTCAAACTCAAACAAAATTTATGGTGTCTGGTTAATAAAATCGTCTATTTTTGTCGGGTACTTCACGAGTTTATGGGTTCGCTCTGAACAGAAATTCATAATAAAATCGATCCAACCTCTAAAACCATTTTCTATCAATGCCACGGTCACATAAGGAGTCCATATATCCCACAAGACCCGACTTTATAAAAGCCTTAAGAAGGGTATTTTTTACTTAATGTTTGCGCCAAAATGTAAACAAACCACAGAGATCGTATCCAAAGATAGGTTTAAAATCCGTAAAATGTTTTCTAACAATGCTACTACGGTATTCGATATATTTCAATTTTATAGTTAGGAAATCCTAGTACCCCATCATAAAACATGAAAGTGTCAATTTGACATTAAAATTCGAGTTAAAAGTTCCTTGAATTTCTTCAATTTATTTGAGACTATTTTATCCATTAAGAGCCTGGGATTTTGTCTTTAGTTTTCGTTTGTTTTTTTTATTATCTTTTTTAATGTCTGCAATAGAAATTATTATTTTTGTAGAAAAAGAAATTGTAAAATCGGTCTTCCCTTGCCAAAGCAAAAAAAGTTACAAAGTAACGAAACACTGATCATCTGTCAGAAACCAATTGTTGTCTGTAGGAGGCCAAGTTACTACAACTTTACCTTCCATCAATCAATATAGTAAATAACATTTTCCCGCTTCGTTTACGCACAAATACCATTCTTGGGAAATGTATGAATCGACCCACTCAGCCTTAGGTTTAAAATAAAACTTAAATTTGGAAAGATCATTATTCTCAAAAAATTGTTGATGCAATATTCACTCACAAGTGACAAATATAATCCAAAAAATGTTTCGGCTTGAAAACAGAAAACTGTAAAAGACAAATCGAACAATCAATTAAATTGGCGTGTAACTCATAAAACATTGTTTTTATTTATATTTAAATAAGCTTTCGAAATGTCCTTTTCCCATTTTTTAATTCTGAAATATTTCTTCTTCACAATTTATGCCTTTTTAGTTTGTTTTTTTTAATCATAAATTATTATAAAAAAGCAGAAATATAATTTATTTTAAAAAGTGAAAGCAACTTTGAAAAGGAAACTCTACTGTTTTTATTTTAAACCAAGAAAATAATCAACAAGAAAGCTATACAAAAATGAAATGTTTGAATTGAATATTAAAGAGAAAAGTAAAACTGTTTTTTTCTCCAGAATTGATGCTTTTATTCCCCCCCCCCCAAAAAAAAATCAGGTCATTTTAGTAAAGTTGGTAGGCTTTCTATATTTTATTTTTTTTGCATTTTCGGGGACTTTAGCCATAAATTAGTAATTCCTAATCTTTTCTATGTAATATTTTTTTTAATGATAAAAATAAATATCACATTTTCCGGGTTATTCTTTCTGCACTTATATACACTTAGACTTTTATTATTTAATTTTTGTGTCTTTTTCTTTTATTGTTAGCTATGTTTCGGCCAGTATATTCTCCAACCTTCCTCCGGTCTTTATAAAATAAATTGTTTAGTACACTTTCTTTTCCTGTCTCCTCAACAAGCAACGGACCAGCCGGTCTTAACGTCACGGTAATGAAACCGCATCCTTATTGTCTCCACCAGGATTAACCTGTTCAACAGCATCATAGCGCGCTGTTTGTTTTGTAAATTCTACATTTTTTGGAGCACTTGTTGTAAGCATATTCAAACTTTTTATTTTATTTTGGTCTATTTATTTATTTGAACTTTTTTTCTCTCTCTTTCTTCGAAGGCCTGAACTTTTCTTTCTCTTTAATTATCAATAGAATTTTTTTTTTATTAAAGCTTGTAA